AAAATTAATATTTAAAATTTTATTAAAATTTTTTAAAAACTTATTAAAATTTTAAATATGCAGGCAAATTTGCCTGCATTACAATTTAAGGGATAATAGTTGAATATTGACCACTTGAATCATAAATTGTTTCTGTATTCCTACTATTAACCATTATTAAAATTTTTTTCAATGGTTCTATTACTAATATAATATCATTATTATTCTTTTGTAAATTTTGACCATCCCAGTTTTGTCAATAAACTGGCTCTATATTGTTATCTGTTTTGATTATTGTAATAGTTAAATTTCTTTATAAATACAAATTTAAAAAATGTAGAATTAAATATATTGTTATAATAAAACATCATGATGAGAATTTTATCTTGTGAAATTAACAAAGTACCAGTTAAAACTATATTATATGTTACTAGAAATTGTAATTTTATAGGCAGGAATTTAGTAGATATACTAGACTTAGAGATTAATACTTTTCATAAAGAAGAAACAAAACTATTAATCCCTTTTCTATCTGAAAAATCAACAAATAATTTAGATGCAACAGCATTCCCATGTTGTGAGACTATAGAAGATAGCATAACAATACCAAGAAGAATCTATAAAATAAATCCTTCTTTTTGATCCAAAGACAATAAATGGAAATAGTGGAGGTTAATGATATTTTAGTTCCTAATAAACCAGAATTTGAACATGTACTGTCATTAGGTTTACCATGGATTCAGGCAAATATCTTGAAAATAAACTTTCCCAATCATACTCTCACATTGCTTGATGGAACCAATATATTATTGGATGTTCCATGAGAGCTCCCATCACCAAAACAAATATCCATACCAGTAAAAGAATATTTCAAGATGATAAAATATTACATAACAGCATTGGGTGTAAATAATAACGAAATATACCTTAAGAAACAGTTCCTCTGTGAATTATTACCCGAGAATCAGATAGAATCTAGAAGATATGAATTGGAACTTCCACTAGATGAGCTAGTAGAGAAACCGAGTAAAATTGAGAATGGTACAACCATATAATAAATATTAATTATTTACCTCAATAGCGAATTCCCATATTTCACGAATTCGTGCATATGATACATTATATTTTTTAGCTAGATTCAGTAATGCATTTGCTGAACCCCTGCTTTCTCGTGACTCCATCACTCGAAACCAGACAATTACAGTTAACAATATATCTTTGACCAGATGTCCATATATCTTTTTTCGAACTTGTGAGAAAAAAAACAGTAATTATATCGTTGATTGCTTCGGGTGATAAGTGTGTAGCACCTATTCTTGTAGATTTTATTGAGGAGATATCAGAACAAAAATTACGAAGTTTCTCGTCGTATAAAATACTGGATGAACTGAAGGACGTACTCCATAAATATAAGGTCAATGGAAAGGATATAACAAGCATAAAACAATTCAATCCAGATACGTAATACTTGATTTTATTTTATTTTTCTTGGTATTTCATTTTCCGGGACCGCCGGTCTTGCAAATTTCTTGGCAAAAGTAATCGAATATAGGCTAACATTTTTTTGTTATAGTTTTTGAGGAAATCGATAACAACGATAAAGCTCTCGAGCAGTGCATGAACGAAATAATACTGCGGTTAACGAATGTAAAGTCAATGATAGAGGCTAACGAAGCAACCCGATGTGAATTTATTCTTACACGCATCAATATCAATTGCACGAAGGTTGACAGATAAAAAGATCAATATAGAGTTACAACGAGATATTTTAGGCAAGGAAGCCTCTGGTCGAGTGGATTACGCAATAACTGGAATGGAAGATCTTTTGTGTATTACCGAGGGAAAACCAAAACGTCAAGATAGGTTATCTCCAAAATATAAAACAACTCGAGAGTTCCTTCCACATGAACAAGAGGAAGCGAATGGCAGATGAGGCATTCAAGGGTGAAGATTACAACTATCTATATGGGATTGTGTCAACAGGTATGTGGAAAATTTTTTGTCTTCAGACACTAGCTCTATTATGATGTTACGCACGCAGATATACTGGATTTTTTTTTACCGAAGATAATATATTTACACTAATTGTCGGATTCATTCTTAGGTGCGGATTGGCATTTTATCATGTTCACTTCCGAAGGCATTTTTTGTACAAGCAATAGTGAATATCAGATAAATCTTACGAAAAAGGCACTTAGTAAAAATCAGGAAAATTTGAGAGATCATATTGTAGGGTTATTGAAGGATAGGGTAACCGCATGTGATGAACCCGAATCCAAGAAGCGACGTGTACAAGAAAAAATTACCAAAAAATAGTGGGTAGATAGTTTTCCCGCCTCATATGTATTTTTTATCTTGTATCAATAAAGCAATCAGGCCTAAAGCGTCATTTTTACTCCATTAATTAATTTGTACATAGTGATAGGAGGTATTTTTCATTTGACTAAATTTTTAACTGAGTATAATAATCTCGCGTGTTATAAACTGTTCTCTTAACTAGGAAACTCCGATCCGATAGAGTATATACGGGATAATGAACTAATCTATTTACAGTATTCTTTTGTCCGCAGTATCAAACCTTAGCCGAATTGCAAGTGGATCATCAATATAATAAATTCACCAGCTGGCAATTTTGGGCACGTGATAATAATATCCGGTGCTTTATACAGTAACTGTTGATTTTGATCATAACCTTATCTGTTTACTGTATTTCCAAAGACCAGTTTTAAAGTAATATCAATCAAAATGTCCTCAGTACGCAAACTTAAGTTGCCTAAGTTTCCAAAAATATTAAAAAGAAGAACTCCAAGTAGGTTTTTTTATCGTGTTTCAGAATTGTACCGATTTCGGAATGTTAACATGCCAAACCACTCCACGGGTGCTATAGGTGTTGAAATGTCGACCAACCGACCTGAAATTAGTAATACCGTTGTTATTTTCGTATATGGCTATTTATATACTTTATTATATTCTAATTTCTTGTATATACGTTTGAAGAACCTGATCGCGAAATAAAGTCTGACCTCAAGGATGAGAAACAAAAGAACATAGCCTTAGAAACTAAGTCCGGAGTGGATATTGATACTTCAAAACTGGTAACAAATAATGAACTCGAAAAGTATGCAGAACGACTAGGAATCAAAGAATATACAGAAAATAAAGACTTGTGGAAGAAATTTTACGGTACGTAATAAGTCTGATTCAATTTGATTGCATTTTTATTAATAACCCTTCGTTTAGACGTCTTTGGCCCAGATTTCGTTTGGCCTTCTACGGCGAAAGCTGGTGAGCGTCGTGAGGTCTTTGACTATATTACTTATCCCCAATGGGAACCAACCGGGGAGGAACGTGCAAGAAATACAGTCGAATATCGTCGCCTACTTGAGTCCAAAACTCTTGATGCATCGAAAGGATCGCACATTTTAATCATAAATGGGAAATTAGTTAGTTACGGGAATAAGATATCTCAGGAAGACAACGAAAAACTGAAAAAAAAATATCCAGGGTGTTTTTATGCACCTGTTGTTGAACGTACTGTTTTAATCCGCAGATTCTCAGCTAAGGAAGATCAAACAAGAAACGAGTGGCAGGTTTGTATCGTTTACAATTTAATTGATGATAATAAGGTTATTGTCAGATATGATCCGAAGCTTTATGATGATATCTGTCAATAACTTAATAATGAATGACATCTTTGGGGATTTCTTTGCCAAATGTAGTCCCATATTTGCATTCGAAATGAATTAAATCCCGAAGATGAAGTAAAAATTGCAAGTACTGAACAAAACTATCGAATGATAATTGATACCGGCTCCACGGTGACGATAATTCCATCCTTTGTAAGAGAACAATTGTGTGATCCCAATGATGGTTGGGACAATTTTTCTTTTTGCCCTGAAGGATATGGCGGTACAGCGAAAATTGTTCAAGCTTCAAGGGAGTGGCTTATATGTTTGGGTGACGGGACTAATTGGTCCAACTGGGTTAGAACAAGAGAAGTTTATTCATGGCAAAACAATCCCCCTGATGTCGACTGTGGTTTAATTGGCTACGACGTTCTTAATAATATTCCACATTATAAACCCTGTAGGCAACCTTACGTATTTCTTAGGAACGATATTTTCAACCAGATGACACAATTACAAGGAACGGAATGAATGTTTCTTTATCAGCAAAAAAATTCGAATAAGGGTCTGGAATTTACATAAATAATGATGCAATATATGGAAATTAAATAAAAATTCGTGCTCATAATTTTCTAAACAGTCTATGGTGCGGTGTGTATCGGGAAAAAATGTGTGATCATGAAGCATTTAAAGTTTTATTTCTATTCAATGAGACCTAATTCTCGAAGATGCTCTGGAATAACTACATATGGGTCTTCGTAATACCAAACATACCTTAAAACGATCCAATTTTCTTCGCACAATTCTTTCTTGAGTTGATCCCGTGCCTGCTGTTTAATGAAATTATTTGATTCTCCTCTATGAAAGAATTCTATATAATGGTCGTGTTACAAATCCGTATTCTGGATAATAAATATCAAGTTGAAGACCTCGGGGATGTTTAAAAGTTTTAAGAAAATCAGGTTGACGTATATTGGATGGGGGACCAAGATATTTAGAAATGATTTCGCGACATAATTTTTCACGCTTAAAATATTGACAGTATGGACACCATGTACTGTATTATTTTTTATACTATTAAGGGATGCACACCATATATGTAATTTATTAAATTGCCATAATAATGGAGTTACATTGTTAGTATATCGGTTAGAGAGACATTTTCCTTCTTTATTACACCGTCTCCTAAAAAGAACACAACACCTGATCGGCGATCTTTAAACGCTAAAATTTTAAGTAGGATAAATCAGATTATAATGAAATTTATACCATATATAGAATATAAGTATGCTTAAATAATGTATAAATTAAAATAGATATTAAATTAATAAAAAGATTTTTTATGATAAATTTTAAAAAATTTACTGTTGCAATATTTTTGGAGTTTTTAAAAAAAAATAAAAAATTCTATTTATTTATAAAAAATACATATATAAAATTATAAAAATATATTTGATTTCTATTACCATCTTGTATAACCACCTATTGCCTTAATAATATCATTAATTATTTTAGGCATTGTTTCTATATATTTCTTACAAGTTTTTTCAGATGTTTATTCCAAATCTCTAATAAATTATTCCAGAAAGTTTCTTTATCATTAATATTAATTATCAAATCATTAACTCTTCTTTTTATATTATTTTAAATGTTTTCTATTGAATTTAAATCTGGAGATTTTAATGGCCAAGAAATAGTTCTAATTTTATTATTTTTTAACCATCTTTGAACTATTTTAGCCTTATGTTTAAAATTATTATCATGTTGAAATATAATATCTTTGGAAGCTAAATTATAATATCTTAATGAATACATTAATTATTCTTTTAAAATTTGTTTATAAAGTTCCATATTAAGATTTTCTTCAATTCTAGATAAATATTTTGTATCATAATAAGTAAAACATCACCAAATATTAATACTATCTTTATTAAATTTTGTTATAAAAATTATATGTTAATTCTTTAAAGGATTTGTAGATTTTCTCCAGCAATATTTGCATTTTTTGATTTCAAAAAGTTGAGATTTAATTTCATCAGACCAGACTACTATATTTCAATCTTCTATAGTTTAATTTCTATGTAATTTTGCAAATTCTAATCAGATTTTTTTGTGTTTTACTTAAAAAAGAATTCTTGCACCATATATAAGCTTTAAATCTATTTTTCTTAAGAATTCTTTAAATTGTGTTGACACTAATATTTATTTTTTTATATTTTTTCAAGAATCTATATATATCCATAGCTGTTTTGCACTCTCCTTTTAAAATTTTTCAGACAATAATATGTTTTTTACATAGAGTAGGTTTAGGCAAATAATTAGGAATAGGTTTATTTTCTAATTTGTTTGTTTTAAAATATTTTTTTTAAGTCTAAATATAGTGGAATAACAAATATTGTTACTAATTTTGACAACAACCTAACATAAACTAAAACCTTCTTCTAATAAGATAATGACTTTTGCTCTCTTCTCTATATATAATTGTCTTGAAGACATTTGGTTTATATAAGGTTTAGTAAATTTTTGCATTTTATATTTTTATCAAAAAATATCAAAAGTTGTGTAACAGTAAATTTTTATTAATTGCATTATAAAAAATTTTTTTTATTATTTTAATTACTATTTTATCATATATTAGACTATATATTATTAATTTCACCATTATTTAATCTGATTTGATCAAAATATAATACTTAAGATTAATAATTAAGTGTTGTATTCTTTTTGAGAAATAGTGTATTTGCAATTTGTTTAATATATTCAATAGTTAGACAATTATCAGCACAACATGGGTACTATTTATCATAATTTTTTATATTGCTAAAATATACATACCAAGTATGAAATTTATTATATTGATATAATAATACTGATTTATTATTGATATATTTTTTTGAAAGACATTACCTATTATAGAATTTGGCAATAGTACATGCATTATTTAAAGATAATTTTTTTATTATAATAAATTCATTTTAATAAAGATTATTTTTTAATATAAAATTATAATTAATAAAATCAATTCTATATTCAATATAAATAAAATATAAAATATCTATTGGATGTAGATAGCTTCTTAATAAAAGTAATGAGTAAGATGTATTTATATTGTTATATTAATAAATAACCAAAAAAATAATTATTATCTCATTACTATTAATTACGCTACTTATTAGAAAAATCAAGTGATTGGTTCTATTCCTTGCAAAAATATAGAGAATCTTCTATTGCTTTAGTTAAATTGATAATAATAAATTTTATACCTTATGAATTTTTATCAAGTATATCAATAACATTGTATTATTTTTTTATATATTGTCGAACAATATTAACCAGCTTATAATATGTATCACTACTATTAAAGGGAACTATATAATCAAAATTATTTCTTATTAATTTGAGACAATCAAAAAATAAATATGCTAAAAATATTATAATGCTTTTATTCAGTAAAATAATACACAATTGGATTTTTTTAGGTTTGGTATATATATCTTCAAATACAGTTATTGTTCATCTTTTAAGAGAAAAGTTATTAACTTTTGACATTTTATCAAGTTTTATGATATAGTTTGAAACTATTTGCAATAATTTTATCAGTCTTTTAAATATTTGTATTTGGATTTGTTAATTTGATATTCTATCAAAACCAAATTGTTATTCTTAATATATCTTATTTCATTCTTTTTTTCATTAAACAATTAATATATCTTGTTTAGTATTACAAATTATTAGTTGGAAAGTTTAAAATTAGCCAATCAAAATTCAGGATTTTTAGTTGCAACCAGTTAATTATATTGAAAACAGCTAATTGATTAAAAAAATTTTTATCAACTAAAATCACTAATCTTGTTTTTGAGTAAAGGATTAATAACTTTATTAGTTTTTTTTGATCTGATTTATCCTGAAACTAATAAATTAAAAAGTCACTAAGGTGTATTATTTAATAAGTTAAATATTTCTGGATCTTTATATTCATTAATATTTAAAACAATTCTCTTATATGAATTAAGTTTTTCTATTGCAAAGCAGATCATTAAGCAATTCTTTGAATTATTATAAGTCTTTGGCTCTACTTTCATATAAGTATTTTATAGATAACTTTTTTTAATAATAAAATTTTTAATAAATGAATATAATTTCAAAGAGTATAAAAAAAACTCTCTCCTGATCACGTCCATTTTGTTAAAAATTTTCCTTTTATGGTAATTTAAGCAAGAAAAAATGTTTTATATTCTTTATTGCAAATGAGCCCCAGCTCAGGAACTCAAGAACCTTCAAGACAACTGATGCAGTAGGATGGGACCTCTGGTCGAAGTCTATTCAAGTTTGGGAATCTTGCTTATCCTTTGGTTGCATAAGGAAAAGCCTGTGGCAATTCTCTTTTCTTCAGTTCTCTTGCACCCCATCTTACCCTTATTATATAATAAAAACCATATACATCATCACCATAATACTCACTAAGTCAAATACTTTTCAAAACACATTTACAAATAGAGTTAGTGGGTTTATTGTTTGTTTTAAGTCAACCCATACACACAATATTTTTGTAGCAATATTTGCTGCATCATTTTCATTTTCCAAAAAATTTTCACCCCAAAAACTGAAATCAGTTTACTCCTTAAGATAATTAGTGCTCCTCAATCATTCAATCAAATTTCACTTAAAGATCAAAACAAAACTCGAACAAGCTTAAACCGGTTTTGTACCACAATAACAATCACAACATCAATAACAACTAACACACTACCAACAACTATAATAACAAACAATGTCATGTATACTCTATTATCTATAGTAACCGACAAGCTGGAGAGATGGGACAACGAGCCTGTCCAGGGGCTTCTGAAGGGAAATAGTAGTTTTTTACCTATAGATTATAGTTTACTTGATGTAGTTCTAGCTATAGTTACTTTCATTTTTCTTTTCAATTTTTTACATTTAAAAAATCAAAAGAATTCACAAAATTTCCTGGGATGGTAGGCATAGCCACTATTTAGCCTTATCTAACACATTAATATTGATTTAGAATTCATATACAATATTAAATAAAGAAATGATGTTTACCTACTGGGGAAACCCTTTAAAAAAAATAAATAAATTCAAAGAGTATCGAATTTTAATAAGATCTATACTATACATGTTTTCTTATTACCATAAAAAAAAATTTGATCAACAATACAATTTTGAATTAAATATAATTCCCAATTACTTACTAATTATTACTTAGTAATATGAACATAATATGGTTTTTGAAAAATGTCTGAATTAAATACAAACACATGTATAATCTATACCTTGCTCTTTATATTTATTCTGCTTTTTTTGATCTTCCTATTTTTGTTTATTCAAATTATTTGATTTTTTATAAAATATTGTATTCTGATTATAATGCTAAGATCTATTAAATTCTTATATCAATTTTAACTCTTTGTTATATTCATCTAATTACACTCTATCCAAAAATTTTGGTCTATATGATAGGAATTTTTTACTTAGCAGATCTTCAAAAATATATTTACAATACCTTTCATCAATATAGTAAAAACAAAATAGGCACTATTCAAATTTCATAGCTATTAATGGATATAAATATTCCTATTTATGTTTTCTATTTTTACAAAACTAGAAATATACATTTTGATTATTAATTCATCCAGTTTTAATAAAAATATATTTACCAAAAAAAAAAAACTCTTTTCCGTTTACACCACTTTTCTTAAAAATTTTCTTATAAAAAAACTTTTGAAAAAAGTTAACAAGAAGTCGTGTTTTTTTAACAAAAACTATCAAAACATAATAACAATATTTGTAGAGATAAGTTTTTTCTACATGTCAGTTTTTAAATACTCTGGGCCAGTAGACCAGCTTGCTCTAATACAAGAACTATTCTTAAAATAGGTAGAAAGAGCTTCTTCAGTAGAATTTAGAACTTTAAATAACAAATACTTACCTCTACACCAGCAGCTGGCTTTTCAAAAAAGAAAAAAACTCGATATTCCAAAAAAGGAAAATATCAGGAAACAAAAAACCAGGCAAGCTATCAGAAAAACAATTTGTACCTAAACAACTTCCACCTGCAAAGATGTGTAAATATACTGAATACAATAAAGACTTTATCAGTCATAATATACAAAAGAAATATTTCAATATAACTTACAAACCAGAATTCAAATCTTGATATGATATGGAAAAGAAAAGACAATAAAATAAAGAAAAAATTACTCAAGAAAATTGGCAAGAAGAGTTTTTCTTAAGAAGAGAAGCAAAAGAAAAAGAAATAAGAACAAATTTCAAAAAAAAGTGAAATAAAAAAAGCATTTGCTTAAGAATATGTTCCTAAACTATTTAGTATATAAAATTTTACAGATCAATTATGTCCTTTTTAAAGAGACATAATTATTTATTTATCACTTTAATAGGAACATAATTCAAAAAACACTTGGATCAAGTGGCCTAAATTACAAAAAATCTTGATAAGTGGTTTTTTTTTGATCTTATATTAAAAAAAATTTTTTTTAATAGTAAGAGACATTTCCTCGCCTTTAATTTAGAAATCCATTTTTACATTCACTGCTACCAAATATAATATGAAATGTTAAAGAGTCATAAATAAGACATTGTTTATAATTAATAAATGAAAACTTCATTAAATATAAAAGAAACCAGGTAACTCTATTTTTTCCAAAAAAAAAAAACTTCTTTAAATATATATTTTTCTAATATAAATAAATATAATAAAAATATATAATTAAAAATATACATATAATCTTATTGATATGACCTGTGGGTCTATAGTGCAGTGGTTAATACTCCATAGGTTAGATCACAAGATATTGGTTCAACTCCAGGTGAAGGTAGTTAAACAGAACCTTATAGTATCTGGTACCATAACCTGTTATATGTCATTTCTCATAGGAAGCCATTTCATATGCTGATCCAGCAGGCATTGAGATTGTGATCTCCAGAAAAGGTATAGTGATGTAATGATCGTCTGGTTGACATTATAATGATCATTGTCAGGTTTGATGATATTTCCAGTTCCTTACTAATTCCACTTTCCTCTCCTATAGTCCATAAGACTATAAAAGAAATCCAAAAACTGGTCTGGTGCTAACTGGAATAAGAAGTAATGTGCTGATAGACAACAGCAGCCCCTTAAGGATGAATATGCGGCGGCTTACTAATATATAGGAGTTGCATTCTGCTTGGCATTCATGCCCTTAGATTTGGCAGCTTACGTCAACTAAGAGCCTATAGAGTGTCTACTGGAAGACTAAAGGAATTTTGCCCCACTTGACCAATTGGCCCCCAGATTTGGCAGCCTAAGCCAACTATAGGAACAATTCTTGAAACATTTACTAGAAAGTACATATCCATGGTGGATACTCTGAAAAAAACATAAGAGCAACTTGTGTTAAGCTCCAGTGGTGAAACAAGAATAGCCTACCCAGGTGGTACAGAAGAACCAACCAAAAAACTAGATCATATACCTGTATGTAAATCCACCCTTGAAATATTAGTTGATACTCAGGTAGTAAGGGCAGAATCGTTAGTCAACTAGTATAGCTAGAACTGTTCATGTAATGGTTATTTGTAAATCATATGACTTTCAATAAAATCCTCATGTGTATCGCACCTTAGTCTTTAAAAATAATAATAATAATAATCTTATTGATTCTCTGGAGATCATATGCATTTATTTAATTAATTAAAATATAAAAGAAAATAAAAAGAAAAGATAAAAGGTTTAAAAAAAAACTCTCTTTCAAATAAATCTACGTCTAAATAAAATTATCAAAAAAGGAAACTAAAAATTTTTTCTTCAAAAAAAACTATAAAGGATCCTAGAGAGTCTTCTTCATCCTTCAAGGGTCAACCCTTTGAACCAACCCACACTTTACTTAATATCCTCATCATCAATGTCGA